CTTACATTTGGTTCACAATTTGTAGACAAACATTACATTTGAAAGCAACTTAGATATCGGTTCCGTTTGGCATTAAACATGGGTTACAGAAAATAATAGATTACATTAAAGAACTGAATACGCGCGCCGTTGCCTAATATCTGTGGCAAAAATCTGTATCATTATATTATTATTATTACTTGAAAACACAATTTTCATAATATTATTACTTTTCATATATATATATATATATATACTCAATGCATATGCATTGTATTACTGTACAGTATATATACCTGTTTAAGCAAATGTATTGACTAATGCTTCGTCTGGGGAACAATAAGTCAACCAAACAATACTACAGGTATATGAATGGTTAGCACAGGTATTGTAATATAGTGTAAAACTTATTGAAAAGGTGTGTTCAGTGTTGGCTTAGTTGTGAACCGATTCTAATGACGGGTAAACGGCTTAGGGATCAAAAAAGCACAACATATATAAGTGTTTCAATTGCCATTTTGATGACCAATCCTCTAATTATTTGATAAGATTCGTGACTTGTGGGCAGCACTGGGCCTCATGGACTCACTGTCTACATCTCCCCCACAAATGCATTGTCTGTGTGTTGATTGTTATCATAAGAGTGCTATGTATGGTATATATACTGTCTATGTTTATGTGTTATTGTATTTTACTGTATAGACTGATAGCGGAAATGTGGTATCATTTTCTAAGTCGACTCCAATTTAAATTCAAGTAAAGCACACAATAAATAATGCTAAACATCGTATACCAATAATTTAAATAATGCCGACAACTATATAGACAATTGACTCGTGTCGGGCATCACTCAAGTATTATACATATCATATGAACACTACTTTTTTCATTGCAAATAACATCAAACAATACATTTGAATACCAAGTCATCATTTTATGGCATCATTTGATGAAATTGTATGATATATATAAAGCTATGCATAAGTGTGTGCATCACTTATGTGGGCGGTTGAGACCCAAACAACATCTCTGTGTTTATCTAAAAAACTAATTTCCTATTCTTTTATATAATACTTATATTACTTTTTTATATATATATCTTATATTTAATTTAAGCAAATGTTTGCACTAATGTTTGTGGGCGTAGTTTGTCATCAAAATTAGGAGAATACACATTAAGAATAACAATCAATGACTCTCTCTCTCTCTCTCTCTTTCTTTCTTTCTTTCTTTTTAAAGTCATTTATATATAACTATCTTAATATATAGTAAGATATAGTATCACAACAATATTGTTGACAAATGAGCCAAAATAGTGTTTAGTGACTAAACTACAGTAAGTAAATTTAGTATTATATTTGATATAAAATGCAATGAAATTAATATGAAATGCTATCATATCCAGGATGTGGTCATTTGCATGATATTTTCATTGTTAACAACTTGTATTATAGTTAAAAACATTTTATACTTTTTAAAATTAAATAATACTTAAAAATACTTTTTACAAAATAGTACTTATTTTAGAAGTATAAACACAATACTTAATATTAATGATATTTTATTTTGAAAAAATACATTAATTTTTGACAATTTATTCAACAAAATAAAAATACAAATGTTTTATCTGCATACTTTTGTAAACAATATATAAATAAATGTTTTTATCATCATTTAAAATATAAAAGACATTATATAAAAACATCACTGATTATTATTATAGTTAATGATTTTTTCTAAATATAAAAGTTTAACAAACTAATAATATTTATTTTTTCTGGTAATACAAATAGACAAATAACCTTTAGATAAAAATTAATTTTGTTAAATTTAAATTTTAAAATTGTATATAAATTATTTATTGTGGAATTTTTAACTAACACAAATATTATTTTAATTTGATGACAACTCATAAATAAGTTTTGTTTTTTATTTTTATAAAATTTTTATGTTAGGCTATCTTTGCAAAAAAATGTGAATTTAAAACCAATAAAATTGTATTAAAAAGCTATAAATTTATAGAAAATCTCAGATAAATGGCATAATCATTAATAAAATTTTTATATTTTTAATTTTATATTAAACAAGATTAATGATATTTTAAATATAACAAATAAGCTTTTTAATTTATATATTTTAAAACAAATAAAAGAAAAATAAATTAAAAACATATTTTCGTTAAATTATTACTATAAGATAAAATTATTTATATAATTAATATTTGTTTTAAAGTTTAAAATAAATGTAAAATAAATTAGTATTTTTATATAATTTTATAATAATACTACAGTACATCATTTTTTATAAAGCTTAATGATCTTAATTGTTAACATAACAAAAAACAATTAATTTAAACTATTAAAAGCATTGTTTTAAAAATGTCAAACAATACAGATTTAAATTACTTATAATGTCTTCTATAAATAGTTTACATTTGACTACATATGCTAACATCATGTCTGTACTAAACATTTTTTTTTTTGAAAAGCAAAATCAGTGGTTAACCAAAATTAGTCTATTGTATAATGCAATGAATTGTTATGATTATAAAAATTTCTTCAAAAGTTGCAAACATTTTGGATGAATAATCATTTTAAAAGAAAGTTTAAAAATTTTCGACATTAGTTAACTATAGTACAGCACATATGTTTGTGGCGTTAATATCAGTTGGGGTTCACAACAAAACCAAATGATTTATTGTGTGATCTATATATTAATGATGCCATTTGCTAATCGACCGAAAACTTACTTTTTTTATAAATTATACTTAATATATATACAGTATATAATATTGTATATATAATACATCGAAGTTTGTTTTTTTAAATATTTGTATTCATATAATAAAAAATAAAATTTATGTTTTAAAAACATAAAAACTATTATACTATATATTATATTGTATATTGAAAATCAAAGTAAAAAAATTTTGGTCAACATTTCAAATCTTTTGACTTTTATGTGTTCAAAGATTTCAATTGATTTTACACTATATTTATGCATAAATATTGTTATATGAATGAAAACAGTGAAGAATTTGGTTTGATTTGAATGACTGAATGGCACACACCTGGGCTTTGTTCACAAACTGTGATCACATTCAATGAAAATGTATGCAAACTTGTCATACATATGACATGTTATGAAAACATATGTTTGAAAAGTTTTGACTGACTTTGCAATCGATTAAAGATATCTTATTATATTTATATAAATATATTTATTTATATACAGTATATATATATATATACTGTATATATATATAGACAACTAAATGGGAAACAATCAATGAAAAGGCAGGTCAGAAATGGTTGACAACAATATAGTCAGTCATACATAAGAAATCAAAGCATACAATTGTATGATATTAAGGGAACAGTAGGTGACAGTCATTGAATATCTCAAGAATCTCATAGAATGGTATAAAACGTTACAAACAGAGGTCGCAACTGATTGTGTCTCAAGAAATTCAAAAGTCTTGAGATTTTTTTTAGATATTTGTCTCTATTTTTTATATTTTAATAAATATATAACAATTAAAATTAATTAATTAATGTTTAGTTTTTGTTAATTATATTTAAATTTATATAGTCTAGAGATTTAAAGTAAATGTTATTATTATTTAATCTTTTTAATTATTATTATTGTTTAACTAAAATACTACTTAAATTAAAATCATAACTATTTTAAAACTTCTAGATTTACATAAATAAAATTTGTTTGTTAGTTACAGATAATTTTAAATTATAGAATTTAATACTATATTTGTAGATGTCATAAATTTAATTAAAAATTTATTTATTTATTTCATATTGTGCATTTATGAAATTAATAAAATTTTTAATTTAATGTAATAAATTGATTTTTAAAGTAATCAATAAATAGTTAAATTTAATGTTATATAATTAGTTTATTTGATATATGATAATAAATATTTTTTAAAATATATTATAATTTATCTATTAGTATAAAAATTATTATTTAAAACTATTTTTTAAATATTTATGATCTACAAATTAATTTTAATTATTTAGAAAATATTTTATAATTATAACTATAAAAATTACAGTAATTTCTAAACAATTTATTTGGAGTACATTTTCCTGTAATTAATTCATACATTTATTAATACCGTTTATCACTTGATAAGAGAAATGTTTCATTCAATCGGAAATGCACTGAACGGCAGTTCAAACAGTGAATGAGGGCTCATATCCTGTCAACAGTTTTGCGATGTTGTGAGCCATTGGGCGGAGACATAGAGTCATCAATCAGTGTTTGGTTGTATAAAAATCGATATCATGTGTGCATAAAATATGCAGTTATACGCCCAGAGGGCTAACCAGACCAACACTGACAGGGGCTTAAAGTTGGACACCACTACCAAAACACACTATTTTATGTTTATAGTAGATATATATATATACTGTAATGTTTAAATGCATTTAGATTTTAGTGCAATTGAATAAATGTAAAATTCCTTCTTTAAATTTGAATTCCCTTATTTTTAAAAATTTCCTGTATTGCAAAAAAAAACATATTTTTACTAAAATTCATCAAATAATGATACAAATAAATAGTATTTTGTATTATTATTATATAAATTAATTAACTTTAGATTTTTATTTTTGTAAAATTCGAATTAATTTATTGAGAATTAAATGGAAACTGAATGGGAATTGAATGGGAATCGAATGGGAATCGAATGGGAATCGAATGGGAACTTTCTATTATTAAATTGATGTTTTATTTTCAAAAAACAAAATATTTGTCGATCTGTTCGATACCTGAAATACAATCGAAATATTAGTGCAAAAACCAAATCTTACATAAATCCCACCTCTTATTAGTAGTGAGTCCAACACATTGTGTTTTTTATTTACACCACTACTGTATATATACTATAATTTAATCGATGCATACATTCCATGACTACACTCTCCCTTATTCTCTCTCTCTCTCTCTCTCTCTCTCTCTCTCTCTCTCTCTCTCTCTCTCTCTCTCTAAAAAGTTGTGACAATCAGTTGAAATCAGTTGGAGAGATGAGGACTGTTGTATAAATGTTGTAACTCTTTTGTAGTTTTACTGCTCAAACAATTTAGAGGATGTGGCGACTAATCTGATGACTAAACCCGGTATCTAATATGCAGTAATACCAGAGCTGGTGGAGCACTGTTATACATGAAAGTGAATTATTGGATGCGAGTCACTAACAACTGGGCTTTCGTTATATTGGCTGATAGTCTTGTGTGAGGACTGACTGTTTGTGTCATAAAAATGTCTTTCCTTATGTTAGGAAACGGAATTGACATTTTGACACTTGTATGACATACTGGAGCACTGTTATTGTGGTTGAGTTACATTAATACTACACATAACTTTGCTCAAAGACTACACGTGCTAACTGTGCTCTCAAACATACACACAATACAAATGATACACGAGTTGTGAGACTGAGTACCACTGACTTGAGTGCAGTCTCTTCTTAGACACACATATTTGAGAGTTTCATTAATAAACAGTCAAACACTATGAATGACTTGTCTTTTGCTAATATATGACTCGTTTGACAACTTTATTAATGTCATCACTCATGAAGTCTTTTATTAATAATAATTGAATTAAACATCACTTGTCTCTCATCTCACTAATAATCATAAAAACATAAATAATTTCTGTTTTTTGTCAACTTTTTAACACCACAAGAGACTATGTCTTACACTGGATTTGCTGGATATCATTGTCATACACAACAACTGTCATCTCAGGTAAAACATTGAAAACTTTTTTAAAAATATTTTTTATTTTATAAATATATACTCTATATGCGATCTTTTAATAAGCAAATAATCAAAATTTATTTATGCAAATTACTATATAACTTAGTAAATACTTTTCTATTAAATAAAATAATAATGGTATATAAAGTATATATATATAATATGCAAATGATATATTGGTTTTTATTTGTTTAATAATATAATAAAGCAGTTGTTAACTAATGATTGGCTTAAAATAACATAATAATATAACGATATGGCTTTTATTATTTTTTCTGCCAATTTCTATTGAATGATTGAAGCAAACATATTATCATTTTGAATACATAAGTGGTTATCTCTCAATGATATTTAATGCCAGTAATATCATTAAACACAACATTAATCAAACACTGCTATACTTTACTATTAAATAGATACCAAGCTTTGGGGTCAAAGAGGACCCAAACAATAAGTTATTGTCTATCATTGCAAAGGTTTAGATGATTTGCATATGAGAACAGATTTTGTGTTAAATTATATAAAAAGCTTTATATAAATTCAATGCTAAACAATATGTAGTAAATCTATGCGAATAAATGAGATGTTGTACTGAATTGTTAAATTGATTTCCAACTTCAGTATAACTAAATGACTGTTAGTTTGCTATGAAATTTAATATTGATAATAATGAGAGCACCAGATGTCTGGATCCAGTACTCTGTTATGCCATTTAAATGATAGCACACTGATTGTCAAACTATATAAAACATAAAGTGTTGGCCAAAATTGTCATTTACCACAAAATGTTATTTGTTTGCTAATCATAGCTTTCAATAATGACATCCAATTCAAACAACTCAACCACAGACTCTCCGTGTTGTGCTTCCAGTGCGGGCACTGATAGTCGTAGTCATACTAATGTGAACAGTACTCCAACTATGAACTTAAATGCAACTGAAGACAACCACTTACCACCGAGTGTTGGTCTGACAGCAACACCAATATCTCCGTCGACATCATCAGTCTGTGCTCTGACTACTCCCTATGATTCCCGTTTAATATCAGGTTATCCTCGACTCGGAAGCTTTTATGGCTCGTCATATTCCGAACAAAACTCTTTTTATACCTCAGGAACCAATCCTTTCTATTCTTCATTTGTAAGTTTTAAAAATTACTATTAAATAAAAAACAAAAATAAATAAATAATTTATGAATTAGGGTAATCCATATGACTTAAAAGATCCAAATGCTAACGGATGGGCTCCGTTACCTCAAACCACGTGCTATCCTTATGAACCAACTATATATAGTCCTTATAGTGAGAGGTATAGTGCAATGGATAGCGCGACCCGACGTAAGAATGCCACCCGAGAGACGACAAATACATTGAAGGCCTGGCTCTATGAACACCGAAAAAATCCATATCCGACTAAAGGAGAGAAGATAATGCTCGCAATTATTACTAAAATGACATTAACTCAAGTAAGACAAACAAATTACAAAAGTTTGTATTTTTCTAATAAATAAAACAAATTTTAATGATTAGGTCTCCACTTGGTTTGCAAACGCCAGAAGACGTCTAAAAAAAGAAAATAAGATGACGTGGGAACCCAGGAATAAAGGTAATGATGGCGACGGTGATGGCGATGGACAGGACTCGGATGACAAGGATGACTCGTGCAGAGATAGTGATGACAACTCATCAAACATTAATATCGCTGATAACAGCAACCAATGTCTCAATGGTCGCAATAAGCTGTCCGTCAAAAGTGAGTCTGACTCTCGAGTCTCTCATAAGTCTAACACCACTGATATAACAACATTGACTGTCAGACAACCAACTGATTTGGGTAAGTCTTATATTTATTAATCAATTTTGAAAATAACAGATAAACCAATAAATTTGTTTTGTAAATATATTTACTATTTTACTTTATTAATAATAATATCAATAATACTAATATGATTAGTATTTCATATTTATTATCCCATTGCGTGACTCATGATTAATGGACTTCATATACCAAACCATAAGATTATGTCAAATAATGTGATAATAATCTTCAGTTTCATAAATAACTAATATATAATATTTTTATAGTTTTTATAAATTAATATTATTGAAACTGCTATGTGTTTAATTATGTTCATACTTATTTATTATAAATTATAATTTAAAAAAATAAATGCATTAAACTTCAACAATATTTGTAAAAAATAATATAATTAATTAAATATAATTTCATTGATAAGCAAAAAACTCATGAAATTATTAGTTGTTTTCACAAAATGTATTGAAGTTCAGGGAATTAGTATATGTGATGTACTGTACATATTGTATACAGTATAATAATATAACAATAAAACTAAATAAAAATTTATTTTAGGATTTAGAGTAACATAATTGTTGGGTAAAGATAATGACAGTAATGGGATTAAATATTACATTATTGTACTGTATATGAAGTGATGCAAGTGTTTGCAGTCTTTAATATAAATAGCAATTGATTTGTGCCAACACATCGTTGTGTTGTGTGTTATATATGAATGAAGTGCCGGTGCTGTGAATGGAAAGGAAAAGAGTTAAGAGAGAGAGAGAGAGAGAGAGAGAGAGAGAGAGAGAGAGAGAGAGAGAGAGAGAGAGTAGTATTAGAGAAAAGTGATGTCTTTTCTCTTATTTATTAGACATGAATTTGAATGATATAAAGCAGTCGTAAATAGCATAATAGGCAATACACATATACAGAGACACAATAATAGTAATACAGTGTAACAGTAATACTAGTGATATAGTGTTAGGGTTTACCGTAAAACCATTGAAACTATTTATTCTAATTATAGTGAAACTCGCAAAACAAATTCAAAATACTTTAACACACCAGTGAATACACATTACTTAATACAGTACTGAAATTGCTGTGAGAAAACCATTAGTTTTTTGTAATGTTTTCTCAAACTTTAACTACTATATCACTGACTCGCTCTCTCTCTCTTTCTCTCTCTCTCTCTCTCTCTCACTCTCTTTCTCTCTGTCTGTCTTTCTGTCTGTTTGTCTCTCACTTATGCTTTTAAATGAGTATAACTAATGTAGCGATACATTAGTAATGTCTAAATTGTTAAACAGATTCAGCAAACTCTTACCAAACATCTAAAGAGGTTATTGTTGAGAAAAGTCATTCCGAGCACATCCATAATGGACACGACTCTAAATCTATTGTATTGCATCAAATAAATAACAATTCAAGAGTTAGCGCACAATTAGCAGCGAGTCGTCATCATATTAAACAGGACTCGGCATCAAATATGTTGGACAGTATGACCAGTATTGATAACATAGGCCAGAGGTATAGTTTACAATAAATTATGTATAGAACTTATTTTTATCAAATATCATTATCTTATATGGTTTGCGATTTAATCAATAGACCAAAGATATGGTCGTTGGCACAAACAGCTACATCACACAGTCCTCCATATACTGGCAAAATAGGTACCCCTACCGAGTGGGCACCGACAATGCCTCCGGGACCGGATGCACCCATTGCGCCCCTCTCTATATCTGATTATCAAAGAGATTGTCCACAGGGTTCACGATTTCCAACGACTAATTTACGCAAATGTTCACAAAATTTAGCAGAAGATCACTATATAACTAACTATAACAATACCAGATCTTCAGCGATGCAGTTGTTCGGCTCAGAGACTATTGGATCTCATAATTATTTTAATAGTCATCAAACTAATAAACCAAGTATTACGGGCACATTTAGCGGTAATGGCACGACTTACTCACACCTACCACTGTCAGCACCTGTTCCTCATTTGATGCACTCAAACAGCGATTCCTTTAATAACACATATAACGGAATTCGTCCGATCCTTGAATCCCAAACATCTCACAACACTATGAATGATATTAATGATAACCGTTTGTCAAACGGATCCCTTTCCAAATCAAATACATTTTTGTGTAAAGTGTTTCCTGATTATATATCCTCGGGTCCGGACGCACTGTCACTCAATGATAATAACAGTGACAGAGGAGGCTCTACTCTAAGCATTGAAGACTCGTCAATGTCTTCATCTTCGTCACCGAATTTGGACATAAATATTGTTAAACACATCAATGGTTCAAATTCTTTAGGTTTTTCCGCATTTAGACCAACACTTAAAAGATAGTGAGTTTCAAATATTTTTATGTTTTCACACTATCTGTTGGACTTTACATCAAAATATTTCTAAGATTCAAATTAAAGATAATATTTACTTAAAAATATCTTTAAATTTTTAAGTTATAAATTTTAACACAAGTGAGCTTTTAGATAAATAAACATTTTTAAATATATTATAAATTTTACCTATTATTTTACATCAAAATACGTAATATAATTTAAAAATAATTATCATAATTAAATTACTATAAAACATATATCAAAAATAATTTTTCATTTAGTGTAAAATATGTTAATTAAATTGTTAAATTATTAATTTATCTGCTAAAATTATAATTTGTCATTTACTTGTATTATTTTGTAAATATTTATAAACCTAATACAAAGTTATTGTACATTATAAAAGTTGTATTATAAAAAAAATAATAAAGTGACTTAAGTAATATTAAAAATAATTACTTTTTTGTGAAATTTGTCATTAATATAAAAAATAAATAAAAATTCATAAATTATGAATCATAATAAATAGCTTTTTCATTGATATAAATTAATTTGAAATGAGTATCGATAAGAAGTTATACAAATATCATAGAAATTAAATGTTTAGTTCCTGTAATAACACAACAATATAATAGAGATTTAGTTTTTAGAAAAGTATTAGAGTTGACATTATTGTATGATTTTTGCGATCGACTTTATATTAAGTTTGTTCAGCGATTTTATTGCAAAACTTATTTACAAATATATATATATATTGTATGTGAAAAGCTTGTGATATATATTTGGGTTTTTACTTAAAGCTGTATTGTCTGAACACACTGTAGTATAGTATAGTATATGATGAGTTGGTGAAGCATTTATTGGTCGCAAATAGTATGTAAATATGTGTCTATATATAAGTTTTGGTTGATTTGTGCATCAAATACAATGCATTATCAATTTCAATATCATGCAAATTAAGTGCCTGTTTTGATAAATACAGTGCTTTTAGTACTACTATCCAAGTGTTAGCATAAGTTTTGTTTAGCAAAGGAAATGACACAAAATTTTGTTTAACAAAATACCAAACTTATGACTACTATATTAGCCATAAGCCATAAGCCATTTGACAAAAGAGCTGATCACTGCTAACATATCAGACCACTTGTTCTCGTTGTTCATTCAGAAGAATCTTAAAGTGAATGAGAGAGTGACTACAGGATGGATGTGCTCACAGATACACAGACACAGGCAGTCATCATAAATGCATCAAATCTGATGATATGTTCTGTGCATTATTAGCAACCAATTCTGCAATAACTTATCGCTAATATTATAAACTGTATACTAATGTTATGCCTATCTCTGCGTGAAAAGAGTTTGCCTTTCATTTGCAGATGTGATCCAAATATGTGAACCATATATCCATAAAATATCCATATATTCCTCTTCAGGATAACGTGTCGTATATTTAGACCACTCCTTATATTTTCTTATTTTACTATTATTACTGAAAATACGGTTTTTTCTTTTTTTTCTGTCGATATGCAGGGGTTCCCCATTGACTGGTGTGCACTACTAAACACTACTTTAGTAGTCAAATGCTATGCTATACACTACTGTATATAAATGCCAAAAACTTTTGATTCAAGTGAAGAAAAATTTGAACATTTAAGCCAATTGTATAGACATATAGTCATTCATTTATTTATAGCGAGTGAGTGAGTGAGTGAGTGAGTGAATGTATGTATGTATGTATGTATGTATGTATGTATGTATGTATGTATGTATGTATGTATGTATGTATGTATGTATGTATGTGTGTGTGTGTGTGTTTGTGTGTGAGAGAGAAAAATTGGTTTCAATAACTCAAGTCTGCAGGTGCTATCATAGCTCATATACCACTCAAATGAACTGTTTTTCATACCAACTCTCTTTCTTTCTCTCTCTCCTTTTAAGAGCTACTTATATAAAAATAGTGAAAGAAAATGTTAGTGAATATAGCTGTCGGACCATTCATTGTGACACATCTATTGTCAACATTTGATGGCATCAACTGAACACAACACCACACATATACACATCTTTCATAGTTAAAGCCCTGACATCTCAATGACTGACACATTGGGTGGCATTTCTCTATCGATTTTATGTCAATTTTCAATCACATAATATACTCAAACCTATTAAATATGCTTTTTGTTAAATTAAACATATTTTTTATTGATAAAACCAATAAAATTAATATTAGAAAATTTAATTAAAAAACAAAATTGTGAAAAATTAAAACGATTACAAGATTAATACAATTCAATAAGAAATATATTAATATAAAATAAAAATGAAATGAATTGTTTGGTATGAATGTATGTCCCGATGTTTGACGCGTGCCATCAAATCTATAGTCGTGTAACTCATTTGTGGTTTTATTTAATATGATGTGTGTTAAGGGCTCAGCACAGGCATTGCAAGTCTACCATAACTAAAATTACAGCAATAGAAATGCTATGGTTTATAGTGTGCAATGATAATGTCTATGTGTTTGTTGCAAAACAGTAGGAGATTCATTACTTGCAATATGGTTTTACCCGGCATTGGGACTACTGGCACAACCAGAGTGCCAAAGCCAAGTTCGGGTGCTCTCATATTTCATTAAATGGGCGTTTGGATAGTTTGGCAGCTGACGCATCCATTACTTTCAAGTGTTGCTGCCTTTCATAACAGTGCCGATCATTGCGATCGGCACAACACATAACAGTCCCTTTTATACAGTCAATAGCTTAGCTTTCATTTTCACTGTAGTCATGGGTCCTAACAGTGATGTTCATCTCATTCCCCATCATTTGCTTTCATATATGACTTTCACTTTCACTCTCTTTTTTTCTAATATACAAAACTCAAACTCACTCTCACTTTTAATGTGACACTTATTAAAAGGATATATTATATTATATATACATTTATATATTGTAGTGCACATACATCACTAGCACACGACTGACCGTCACATACATACACTATATTCATAATAAAACAGTCTATAGTAAAAGGTCTGAGCTATCATTTGTATAGTGAGCTAATTGTTAGCACATATTTTTTCCCATCTAAATACTAATATCATAATAAACTAATCATTAATAAGCTTTATATACATTAAATTGGCTTTTTTGAAGCAATCATATAATGTGGTCTCTGGCCATTACTGATCTATTCCTAAGTGGAACGGTATTGTATTACATGTATATCCGTAATAATAGTCTAATGCCTATACAAACTCATGTAATATAGTTTCATCATTCGCTTAGTTGGCTTTATGTGACATTTTGATCTGATAAACACAATGTGATTGATTGCACTTGCATTACATCCATTGATAATACAAAACAAGTCATACATATACTATATGCCTATTACTACCAGTGTTTATCAGTTTTGGCGGTTTTACTCCAGAGTAATACTAATTAATGCCTTACCATTCATGCCATTCATGCCATCCATCCATTTTCATCCGACACTTTGTACTTAAACTAACTTTCCTATTAAAGCATACTTTCGTGCAATACTTACAACACATGACAGGTAGTGGACGAGTGGGTAATACATGCATACTGTGTGACCTCACATTAAAATATTATTTTGTTTTTATTAATATAAAGTCTGTGACATAAGGGTGCGAACTGGTTTTTGCTTAATATCTCTATAAATAATTGAGCTAGATAAATAAAAATTTTATTAGAAACATGGAATCCTGGGACGTATAACTTAGTATAGTTAGTTTTTATAGATTTAAGCTTATGTAGCTAAGCACCGGTAGGTGCCATATCTCTAAAACTATAATAAATATCTAAATTCTGATAATGTGAATTTAAACTAGGTGAAAATTCATTAGACACGTGTTTCGGTAATTTTTAAAAAAATTAATAAATTTTAAACAAAAAGCAAAAAAAATGTAAAATTTGTAATATTTTGATATTTTCTAGAAAAAAAGTGTCAAGGTATTTTGATACGAAATTAATCTATTATTATTTGTTATTTTATTAAGAATAATTATTCTATTTAGAATTTTTAATTATCATGCTTAGTTTTTGAGATATTAAAGATAAACATTTTTACCATTATATAATTTTTTCTTATAAAATTTTATTAATTATATTTATTACTAAATTTATATAATGGTAAAAAGGTTTATCTTTAATATCTCAAAAACTAAGCATGATAATTAAAAATTCTAAATAGAATAATTATTCTTAATAAAATAACAAATAATAATAGATTAATTTCGTATCAAAATACCTTGACACTTTTTTTCTAGAAAATATCAAAATATTACAAATTTTACATTTTTTTTGCTTTTTGTTTAAAATTTATTAATTTTTTTAAAAATTACCGAAACACGTGTCTAATGAATTTTCACCTAGTTTAAATTCACATTATCAGAATTTAGATATTTATTATAGTTTTAGAGATATGGCACCTACCGGTGCTTAGCTACATAAGCTTAAATCTATAAAAACTAACTATACTAAGTTATACGTCCCAGGATTCCATGTTTCTAATAAAATATTTATTTATCTAGTTCAATTAGTTATAGAGATATTAAGCAAAAACCAGTTCGCACCCTTATGTCACAGACTTTATATAATAGTAATACTGAATAAATTTGATTAATTATTGTAATTAATTTAATTTAAATTTCTTTAATTTAACATAAAAGCTTTTTAATAAATATAATAATTCATGCATATTATGAATATTACATATACTGATACAGTTTAATATACAATATATGATAATACACTATACATTTATTATATAATATCGTTATGCAGTACTTAATATATTATAGTTTATAAGATTATAAAGTATATATAGAATTGTATGCATATATAAATAAAATGATAATAAAATAAAACAAGAGATGTTTCTTAAGAGTTGATGAATGCATTTAAGTTGAATGTGATTTTGTCGACAATATATTATATGTAATACTTTTAGAGCAAACACGACATGCAATAGCAATAGTAGTGATAAAGTAATAGGTTTGTAACGATTCAAAAGTGTATGTCTCAGACGTGTTATGTAATCCAT